TTATGAAGAAGAAAATGGTGAAAAAAACAGAGATGGTGGTGGTCAAAGACATCAACGACGACGGTGAAGAAAAACTGTGTCGGTGGTGGTGAACAAAAACAGACTGTGTCGGTGGTAGTGGAGAAAAATGACTGTGAACAAACTTTGTGATGGAGAAGGCAGTGGACGAAAACAAAGAAAGCAGTGAGTGGAGAACATATACGGTGGCGGATGGTGGTTGTAGACGGTGGTGGATATAAGGGAGACGGTGGTTGTAGACGAAAACAGTGGTAGATGGTTTGTGGACAAAATTCGATGGTAGTAGACAATAAACACTAACTATACCATCAATCTTATTCAGGGGTATAACAGTTATTTCACATAATGTGAATAGTAAATTGTGACATATTTACGAAAATCAAAGAAAAAATGACATTTTTCGAAGATTTTGTGTGACAAATGACATTTTTTGTAAAAGTTCCGAAATTTTTTCACTTGGTTGAAGAAGAAGAATATTTCCTTCTAGTTTTAATCATTTTTAGAGTATTTGAGTTAATTTTTTTTTCTCTACTTTTATTCTGATTGTTTGAAACTGAGAAGATTTGAGCATATTTGTTTTGCAACTCTTTTCTTTGACTCTATCAAGAGCAACCAATCACACCCCCTATGAATTTCACTATAAAAAATGTACGACTATTAACTTGGTCCAATCGGATACGAGGATCCAGAGTTGTGGCATTAAGAAAATAGATCGAGTGTGATGTGTATTAAATATCCTCAATAATTTGTTTTCAAATGAAAAAAATGTCGTCATTACTCGTAACCAGTCAATACGTATAAACAAATTAAAGAAGTAGGAGTAATTGAAATTGAAATCCACCATTAGTCAAGCTTAACAAAAGATTAATGAGGACATTTTTTTCCATAACTCCCATACACAAATTTCCCATTTCTTAACAAAAGATATGTTCCCAAAAGGATACATTTTGACTTTTTAATTTTTTTTTTATTATGATTTTCACAAGTTGTCTTCCGCCGACCTCACACCA